CCGTGCAGCCGCCGCAGCTGCTGTCTGGTCTGCTGTACTTGGGCGGCCGCGGGAGTGACCAGAGGTTTGACCATCAGGTGCCGTAGTTCCTGGAAGGTTGAAAGGGGGAAAATTTACGGTTGAAATTCCGGGAAGATGGTGCGAATTGTGGTGGATTTCCAGGAGTTTCGGGACAAATTACGCTCAAAATTCCAGGAACATTGTGCCATCAGGTGGCGCAGTTCCTGGAAGGTAAGCGGGGGACACATTACAGAGGAATTTCCTGGAAGATGATGCGAATTGCGGTGGAATTACAGGAGTTTCGGGACAAATTACGCGATACGGTCGAAATTCCTGGAAGATGGGGAAAATTACAGTGGGCTTTCCTGGAAGATGGGGCAAATTACATTGGGATTTTCTGGAAGAAGGGAAAAATTACTGTGGGATTTCCAGAAAGATGGGACAAATTACAGAGGGACTTCCTGGAAGATGATGCGAATTGCGGTGGGAATTTCAGGAGTTTTAGGACAAATTACGGTCGAAATCCCAGAAAGATGGGACAAATTACAGTGTGACTTCCTGGAAGATAGGGCAATTACAGTTAAGATTCCAGGAAGGTAGTACAAATTATAGTGGAGTTGCAGGAATTTCAGGACAAATTGCAGGAATTTTGGGACAAATTATTGTCAAAATTCCTAGAAAATTGTGCCACCAGGTGGCGCAGTTCCTGGAAGGTAAGCGGGGGACACATTACAGAGGAAATTCCTGGAAGATGATACGAATCGTGGTGACATTACAGGAGTTTTGGGACAAATTACGGTCGAAATTCCTGGAAGATGGGGCAAATTACAGAGGGATTTTCTGGAAGACGGGACAAATTACGATCGAAATTCCTTGAAGATGGGGCAAATTGCAGTGGGATTTCCTGGAAGATGATGCGAATTGCGGTGGAATTCCGGGAGTTTTGTTACAAATTACAGTCGAAAAACCTGGAAGATGGGGCAAATTACAGTGGGGTTTCCTGGAAGATAGGAGGGGGGGGTGGGGGCACATTACACATTACAGTGGGACTTCCTGGAAGGCAGGCGGGAAAATTTACGGATGAAATTCCGGGAAGATGGTGCTATTACAATAGAAATTCCTGGAAGATAGAGTACAAAATCATAGTGGAGTTGCAGGAATTTTGGGACAAATTACAGTCAAAATTCCTAGAAGATTGTGCCATCAGGAGGCAGAGTTCCTGGAAGTTAGAAGGGGACACGTTACAATGGGATTTCCTGAAAGACGATGCAAATTACAGAGGAAATTCCTGGAAGGTAGAGCAGGTGGAACACGTTACAGTCAAAATTCCAGAAAGATAGTAACTAAAATACAGTGAAAATCCCTGAAAGGTAGACGGAATAAACTACAATGGAAATTCCTGGAAAATAGTTTAGTTCTAGTAAGAGAAAAAAAAAGAAGGAGAGATCATGACAATCGATTTTTGATAGGAAATAAAGAGGAAACCACACCAGAGCACCCGCCAACCACTCACGGCAAATATTTTGAATTTCAATGACAAATCCAGGAAAATAATGTAATTTGTAATAGTGGAAATTCCCGGAAAGTAGTACAACTTACAGTCGAAATTCCTGGAAAGTAGTACAACTTACAGTCGAAATTCCTGGAAGGTAGTACAACTTACAATCGAAGTTCCTGGAAGGTAGTACAATTTGCAGTAAAATTTCTAGGAAGATACTGCAAATTATTATAGACTAGTGGAAATTCCTGTTTGGTAGTGCAAAGTACAGTATACGTAATAATTGCTGGAAGAATGTGGACTGTGCAGGTTACAATGGAGATTCCTGGAAGATAGTACACACTTCAGTAGCGTATAAACAAACACAAACAGTCATACGCACGCAAACACATACAAAAGCACCCTCACGCATACAAAAACACAAAAAACACACGACTACACGCACACACATATACGAAAACACATGCACATCAAAACACAATCACACACAAAAACACACACGAGCAGACATACATTACATACATATATATATATATACAAACTCTGTCTCTGTCTCTCTCTCTCTCTGTGTGTCTCTCTCTCTGTGTGTCTCTCTCTCTGTCTCTCTCTGTCTCTCTCTCTCTCTTTCTCTCTCTCTCCCCCCCCCCTCCCTCTAGAAAAACACCAGACTTCCTGACCTGATATTTCTGCTGCAGACGATCCCCGTCTGGTTCCGGGCCAGCAACTCTGGGCCTGGCCACCTGCTTCCTCCTGCTCAGTCTCCTCCCTCCTCTCCCACTGGACTCGCTCATCGTCTCCATCTGGTGACCCGTGTGCCTCTCCCGCTCCGGCCTGCCAAGGTCAGGATGTGACCCTCCCGTCACCGTGGGCGGGGACGAACCGGAAGGGGGCGGTGGGCGTGCCGTCTTCCGGAACAAGCGCTTCCGCTTCCGCTTCGTGGCGCGGCTTCGCGGACTGGCGCTTGCGTCTTCCGAGCCGGCCATTTCGTCTCCGGCGCCTTGAGATTTCGAGTTGTCCTCCTCCTCCTCATCCTCGTCCTCTTCCTCATCTACCTCGCCTCCTCCTCCTCCTTCTTCGTTATCACGCGTGCGATCGTCCGAAACACTATACTTCGCCCAAGACGGAACCTCGATATCCGAAGGAGAGGGTATGTCTTTCTTGGCGGTAAACTCCTCGTCGTTGTAGAAATCATCCCACATCTTATCCTCCTCGTTTTTCTTATTATTCAGGTCAGAAGAGGCGGAGTTTCCAGAATTAAACCCCGCCCCTCCCTCCCCGGGGGCGGAGTCACCGTTGCGTTTTACGGACAAGGGGCGTGGCCTATCGTCCGAGTCGGTGGCAGGCTCCTCCTCCGCGATGGTCATAAGCCCCGCCTCGTTCTCCTTATCGCTGTCAGTCTTCTCTTGCTGTTGGGCGGCCGCGGGGTCCACTAGTCTATTCAGGAACGCCAGGACTCTGGGCGAGGGGTCACCGGATCCACCGGACGCCATGTTGTCTACGCCCTAGCTCTGCCAGCGGGTCAGGCGCACCAGACGGGGGCAGATCTGTGGATGAAGGAATGAAGGAACGAATGAACGAATGAATGAATGAGTGAGTGAGTGAGTGAGTGAGTGAGTGAGTGAATGAATGAATGAATGAATGAATGAATGAATGAATGAATGAATGAATGAAAGAATGAATGAATGAATGAATGAATGAATGAATGAATGAATAAATATCCCATCACCAACAGACCACAGGCAATGTTGCAGGCTGCAGCACATTTGAAACAATCACACGAAAAATGTTTTTTTAAACACGAGTAGCATTTATATATGGTCGCTTATAAGCACAAGGGGGCTATCCCGAAAAATGCTGTTTTGACAAAACAATTAAGGTAAAGTTTTTGGACCCTTGTTCAGTTTCTTTAAAAGACAAGGAGAGTTTTCTCTATAACCAAACAAATATACACACCAATGAAACCAAACTTCTCCTATAGGTGGGGCAATGCACACTTGGTGTAGGTCAAGATTTCTGGAAACCTCCGAAATCTGAGTTAGCCCGCTTGTCCTTAAAAGCGACCATACTATTTCACTAAATGCACGTTGCTGACCCCCTTTCAAAAACAGAACTGATGAATCCGAATGAAGAACGCAGTTATAGTATTGTAGATCTATTCTTATTTTTCCAGTGCCTCAAAACGGCGCGTCTTCACGCGTTGTCAAACGACTAAAATGGACACGCCCTCCAAGAGTTAAGACACCAGACTTTAAGTCAGCCACAAACCACGCCAAGTAAGCGGGGGGAAAAAAACCAAAACCACAAAGACTTGGAATTGGTTGGGTTGTTGTTTTTTCTTTTCACCTGCTTCTAAAAGAAACTCGATCGACGCTATCAAGGGAGACAATCATGCCTTGTACTTGTGTGACGTAGACAGGAAACCACCTGTAACACATCAGACGTGACTGTTGATTTGTTTCTAAAACTGGAACACGGATTCCTTAAAATAAGCCACAATTTCGCGACCTCAGTAAGATAGAGTTCTATCTGACATAATTTGGCCGTTTTGAAAGTTTCTCTAAGACCTTGAGATCAGAAAACAAAAAGCTCTATCTGCTCTGTCAAAAATCGTAAGTCTATTCGGAGTCGATATCAAGATAATAATATTAATAATAATAAATAGCATTTGTATAGCACATATCCCCGCTCGACAGCAAGCTCTATGCGCTTTACACTATAATATTACCCCAGCACCAATAATAATAATAATAATAATAATAATAATAATAATAATAATAATAATAATAATAATAATTGCATTTATATAGCGCATATCCCCGCTCGACAGCAGGCTCTATGCGCTTTACACTATATTATTACCCCAGCAGACCATAGAACACTCAGAAACATTCTCAGCTTCCCGGGAAGCATACAGTGCAAGCAGCTGATTAAGCGCTCAAACACTAAAAAACTGACAAGATCTTTCACTGTCTATAGCTGGGTACCCATTCCCACCTGGGTGAAGTGAGGAAAACTCGTGTAAAGTGCCTTTCCCAAGGACACAACGTCGGGTCCCTGACAGGATTCGAACCCCCGACCTTACGGTTGCGAGTCCGAGAGCCTAACCACTAGGTCACCGACGCCATATTCAAAGAATTACATTCGAAGAAAGCTTGGTATATTATGGCTACTTCAGAATTACAAAGTTCTATCTGCTTAGTACCTAGTTGTGAGAAATTTAACGTCAAAAATGTTGAGTTTCACATCCTGTTCATCGTTTTCGAATGTAATTCTTTTTAGTTTTAAAAGTTTTACGGCACTTGCAACACAATACGGTCATATAAGTGCTGAAGATTAAAAGTGTTACAAGAGAGTAACTAAACACAAAAAAACAAGGAGGAGAGATAAGGACGAAAGGTGTTTGATAGGAAAGAAGTAGCAAACCACATCTGAGCACCCGCCAACCACCCATCGTAATTCTTTGAATATCTTGATAACGACTCCGAATAATCGTACAATTTTGATAGAGCAGAAGGAACATTAGTTTTCTGACCTCACGGTCTCAGTAACTCCAAACGGCAAAAAGGTGAAATAGAACTTAGACATTCTGGGGTGACGATAGTGCCAAATTCAAAATTTGTAGCGTCAAATTTCTCTAAACTAGATCTAGGTACATGTACTGAGCAGATAGAACCGCGTAATTCTGGGCTAGTGAGATGTGGCGGTAGCTTTGTAATAATAATAATAATAATTGCATTTATATAGCGCATATCCATGCTCAAGAGCTTGCTCTATGCGCTTTACAACTATTATTACCCCAGCAGACCCTCTGAGAACACTCAGAAACATTCTTAGCTTCCGCGGAAGCATACAATGCAAGCTGCGGATTTCACGCGCTCAAACACTATCAAACTGACAAGATCTTTCACTGTCTACAGCTGGGTACCCATTTCCACCTGGGTGAAGTGAGGAAAATCTGTGCAAAGTGCCTTTCCCAAGGACACAACGTCGGGTCCCTGACGGGATTCGAACACACGACCTTACGGTTGCGAGTCCGAGAGCCTAACCACTAGGCCACCGACGCTTTGTTTCTGAAAGTAGAATACCGTACGGATTCCTTTAAAAATAAGCCATCAGTTGTCTAGCGTCTAGGGTGTTTGAATCTACGACAACCGTTATGTCGCCGGTTCGAATCCCGATGTGGGTTTGACGTTGTCTGCAAGGGTAGGACACTTTAGTCATCGTTGTTGGCTACTTGGTCAAATGTTGTAAGTCCAGGAAACAATGTTATATTTTCTAGGAGAGAGAGATAGAGAGAGAGCGAAAAGAGAGGAGGAGAAAGGCGGGGGAGAGAACAGAGGGGGGGGGGGAGAGAGGGAGAGAGAGAGAGAAAGAGAGAGAATGAGAGAGAGAGAGAGAGAGAGAGAGAGAGAGAGAGAGAGAGAGAGAGAGAGAGAGAGAGAGAGACGGGGGGTCACTCTTTCAACTTGTGCCAACTTAATTATTTTTTTCTAGCCCATTTCAACATTTAGGATTTGAATTTATTTTGATATAAAATATTCCTTGAGAATACAGATATTTGAGGATAAATTGTGCCACGAATTTTTGACGACCGCACCTATAAGGTCATAATATATGTCGTGTTGAGGATCAGGAGCATTATTACATTCAGCGACATAGGAATGAAAGAAGGAGGAGACTGATAAGGACGACAGATTATCATTGATTATGTGTGATAGAAAAGAAGGGGGAGAGATAAGGACGACAGATTATGCGTGACAGGAAAGAAGGAGGAGATATAAGGACGACAGATGTGTGACAGGAAAGTGGGGGTGAACCACATCAGAATCAGAGCAACCGTCAAGAGTATCTGGTTATAATTGACAATCAATCAAAGACCTTTTCGTTATCTGAGAGTTTAACCCTATCCGTACGCCCTGCTGTCATTTTTTTTGTGTCCCCGGGGTTGTATTCTTCACATTTGAGAATACTTCTAGTACGAAGATCTTTTTGAAACTTTCAGTATTTCTTTAAAAAATCGTTTTGACAGACTGCTATGCAAAGCGTACGGATTGGATTAACGAGTAAATTTCCTCTTTGGAAAGTGGTGGCACAGAGTTCCCCACGTCGTATGGACACGATAGTAAAACACGACGTACGGATAGGGTTAAGTGGTGGCACAGAGTTCCCCACGTCGTATGGATACGATAGTAAAACATGGAGAGGGTTAAGCGCCAACAGAATGGCGAGTTGCACTGAATGCTTCCCATGACGCTGAGAATAATATGTTTGAATACTTTCTGGTCTGTCGGGCTAACAATAGCCTATCGTTGGTATCAGTTCTTTTACACGCACTATAATGATGACAATTATGTTTTTATTACGACGATTATTATTATCATTACTACTACCACTACTACTACTACTACTACTATACTACTACTACTACCACTACTACTACTACAACAACAACTACTACTACTACTACTACTACTACTACTACTACTACTACTACTACTACTACTACTACTACTACTA